CCAAGGTGAAAATCCTTCAGTGGACATGTATTTCACTCAATCTTAACGCTCTTGAGCTGCTGTGAGAGATTCTGTAGAGACGAGCTGAGCAACACTCCCCATTAAAGACCAGAGCATTCAAGGAGGTCGTCCTCCAGGAGTTAAACAGAACAGATGTGAAAATTTGTCATGAACTTGTACACTCAGTGCCAAGAAGTGTCAGAGCAGTATACTTTAAGTTCTGGAGGACATACTAAGTAATAGAATATTATACATTTTCTTAATTAAATCTAGGGTGTACTCATTTCTGCAATCCTTCATTTAAACAAAATTGGCTAATATACTTATCTTACAGAAAATATTGGCATATATTTTGTTGTTTTTATTAAGTATAGGTTTCAGTTTTGCCATCTTTCCATGAATTATATTAATTATATTAGTGATCATTAAGAAAATACATATTTTATATTTATTCAGAGGGGGTGTACTCATTTATGCTGTGCACTGTACACATTTCATGAGGTGGCAGTATGAAATGCATAAGCAAGCAAGAAGTGGACTTCAATTCTACTGTCTTCAGGTGCAGATAATATCTAGTCTACCTGTGGGGACTGCCGTGAACATGCTTTCATGAGCCAGAGCATGTAGAGGCAGCTCTGTGTATTCTTCAGCGTGGCCTTGTGGAAGGTCCTCCATTTCCTTGTTCTTATGCGCTTCTGCTGCAGTTTCTCTCTCAGCCGCTGAAGTCTGCTTCTCTGGTTTCTCAGAACTAACTCTATTTTTGAATGCCTCTTCAATGGACATCTGCCCACCTTTGGAGCCAGCTGTATGTGAATCCTCCTGCGGGGTTTGGAAACAAAGATCTTGAATGTTCAAGATTTGGCCAAGATGAATGACTTCATGTCACACATGTGGAAGTAGTCTAATGTGTGAGATATCAGACCTGCTCATTTGAAGAGGACAACGAGACATTCGGTTTCTTGGACACTTTTGGTTTCTTTTTGGGAACAAAATTATATAAGCCCATTTTTCTTTTCTTCTTTTTGGAGGCTGCAGAAGAATACAAACAGAGGGGCATGCAATTGGTTTTACTCTCTTGTGTTCTAAACAAAGAGGTTTTAATGCAACTTAAGTTTTTAGCTAAAAAATTCCCACCTGTTTGTGTTGAGTCTTTGACTTCCTGAGGTAAACTGAGATGCTGTGTGGGCGAGGACTCCACGTCTCTCTCATACACACTTTTCTCTCTGTTCATTGTCTATGTTGTTGCATTAATAAAAACAGACATATATAAGTCTTTTTTGGACAGATTTTGGTATCACTTTAGTATAGGGACCAATTATCACTATTAACTAGCTGCTTATTAGCATGCCTATTATTAATGCATTGGCTGTTTATTAGCACATATTCTGCATGACCATATTCTACATCCCTAATCCTACCCAATACCTAAACCTAACAACTACCTTACTTTTAAAGAGTTAATGAGTTTATTCAGTAAGGATACATTCAGTTGTTCCCTAGTCACAGTAAAGATGTACAATGTTACATAAGAGTTTTATTTTTAATAAATGTTGTTTTTTCTTCCTAATCATCAGAATAAAAAAAAAAACTGTGAAAAAACTATCATGTTTTCCACACAAATATTAACCAGCACAACCACTTGTGAACAAAAAAAAATAAAAATGAGCACCAGATCAGCATATTAGAATGATAGAAGGATCATGTGACACTGAAGACTGGAATAATGGCTACTAAAAATTCAGCTTTGCCTTCACAGGAATAAATTACATTTTAAAATATATATAAAAATAGAAAACAGTTATTCTAACCTGTAATAATATTTTACAAATTACTGTTTTTGCTGTATTTGGTGAGAATAAGAAAAAATTTACTGACTTCTTACTGATTGAACGGTACTGCATATATAAGAAATATCATTTATGGGCGTCCCACCCATAAAACTGTTTTTGTCTCAGGCTCTTTGAATTTGACTATGCATCAGTATAAATATCCAACCATGTTCAGAAATGTCCGTTAGTCCCCCTAACACACACATTTTAGGTTATCATCAAAATCCATGCCTTCCACATTTTCCTGACTCATTAATATAAACTAGACAGTACATAAGCAAGCAGCAGGCTACCTTCAGAGCAGATGGAGCTGGTGCTGGTCTAACCATGGTTTTCCAAGCCAAACGTGGCGGAGCAGGATTCACAGCTTTAAACTCCTCCGGCCCTCTCTGGGCATCCCCTTCCTGTCTGGCTGCAGGTGAGGACAAAGTGGGGATGCTCTTGGCGGCATTACCAGACTCTGAACTCTGTGTTTCTGAAGCTTCTTGTTTATCTTGCTGGATAGAGCCATGATTTCCTGAGATGATGTTTTCACCTGGTAGCTTGAGGGATGTCTGGCCAGAAAGTAGCTGAAAGCCGGTCCCTGTGCTCTTCGTGCTGTCTAGATCACTCTGTTTACCAACTTTTGGAGCAGCACCAAGGGATTTGATCTTCCTGCCTCTTCTCGGTGGGTCTGCAGGGCTGTCCATACCTACAACCACAGCATGATAAAATATGTAACCCTGGAGCACAAAACCAGTCATAAGTAGCACGGATATATTTGTAGCAATAGCGCGCTCTGAAGGGCTGCGTTTCAAAATCTAGTAAACTGCCGACTTAGAACATTTTTGCCATCAAATGCTGTCTAGCTGGCTGGGCATCACACTAGATTTTGAGACACAGCCAACAAATCTGTCTCTTCGGCCCTCCAAAACGCTCAATTTTACTTTCTTTGCATTGCTGAATAGGCATGACAGCCTATTAGACTCGTGATTTCCTGTGTCCTACTAACTGAGGAATAGAACAGCATTTGTTAATGTTTATGTCGGACGCAGCGCTCACTGTGGGCGGAATTACAATGAACAACATGAAACAATGTAGCTAACAGACGCGCCTGACACCAGCCACACCACCACAAATCTAGACGGAGCATGTAACTATAAACTACCTTCGGCGTGGGACATTTAGCCACAAAAATGACTGCTTTGCACAGACTTACCCGTTAACTTATGATGGTTTGCATTTTTGTAAAATAACTCCGTTCATTCCGAAAGTTTAGAGGCGTGTCTGCTTTCTCTGCACTTCCCTGCTACATGCACCCTGCTGCGACTGTCATGTGACCGTACAGCGCTCTCTACTGGTCAGGGGGCGTTTACTATCTGGGTTTAGTTGCTAAGTGTGTAAACCTCAGGCCCTCTATAAACCATTCGTGAACTTTTTGTTGTTGTTTTTTTCTCGGTACGAAACATACGCATAAGTGTCACGTATCACACGTATATCGCAATAAATTAAGACATTATTGGGGAAAAAACAATATTGTTTGCACCTCAACAAATTGAGCCCCAAGAATCGCTGTGCCTGCCTGCACCTATAGAAATTCCTTTTTAATCACTGACCACAATAAAAGTTATTATATAATTTGCTGTCTCACATGCACATTTTCTAATGTGCGGCAGCTGGCACTTAAGGGTGAACTGTCAAATTTCTCTTATGGTATACATAAAGCTTGAGTTATGGCCACTATTGATGATTTCTAACCCTCCAGTTGATTTAATGGATCTTTGCCCTGTGCAACAAGTAAAGAATAATGTAAACAGCCTATCAAAGATCCATGTCAAAGTCACAAGCAACGTCAAAGATTCGTTTCATTCTGTTTAACAGTACAAAATGCAGGGGGTTTTTTTCAGTTCAACATTTTTATTAATCTGTACACTACATATAAATGTAAATCACTGTTCAAATAAAAAAAGTAGTGTGCAATACTAACAAAGGCAGAAATTAATTATTAAAGTTAGAAATTAATCATTAAATACCACAAAACTTGAACTAAATATTCAGTTGTTTTGTATAATGACTTAAGGACATGTGTATCCACACATAGTATAAAGTTACAATTTCAATCGAACTGGATTCATCTTTAGCTTATCAGGAACATAAAAAACAAAGCCTGAACATGCTAATTTAAAAAAAAAAAAAAGAAGAAAAAAAAAGCAAATTTACCCTGGTGGTTGTATAAAACAAGCAACAGTCTAATAATAAAAGCGTACTTAATACTCTTCCATGATGAAACCCCTAAAAACAAGTGGAGAAATATATTTGCAAGAGGCAGATCTATTTTACAGATCATCTGCAAATGACAAAAATGAAAAGCAAAATTACTCATTTCCAACTGTTTGGCATAATAGCGGTCAAACCACACCTGAAGTATTGTATCAGCTGACCTCTTAGGTTAAATATCACATTCTTGAGAGCACAGACATTGTAAGAACACAGAATTTGGATATGTACACATTTGGTTCAAAAGTGCTTGAGGTCTGCTTTTATTATAAAGTCACAGGAGTGTTATGAACATTTTCAATGTATTTCTCCCTTCTTCATATGGTTGGGAGACATCCTATATATTGCAGCTATCTTCATAAGAAGGTGGAGCCTCTGTCAAAAGAAATGAAATCAAATTAATCACCAGGTAACATTGCCTTACCTAATGAACAATCAATTAAATATAATAATAATAATAATAATAATTAAAATAAAAATTTTAAACAAACTCATTTTAATTCATTTTAAATATTATGTAAATATAATATATGATATACAATATATGATTAACAGTGTTGGGGAAAATTACTTTTAAAAGTAATGCATTATAATATTGCAATACTCCCTAAAAAAGTAACTAATTACGTTACTTAGTTACTTTTTATGGAAAGTAATGTGTTACGATTTTTTAATGCCAAAAATCATTAGGATATTAAGTAAAGAAAAATTAGTAATGTGCATTGATAAGAACATAATTTGAACAACTTTAAAGGCGATTTTCTCAATATCCAGATTTTCAAATAGTTGTATCTCAGACCATACACCAATGGAAAGCTTATTTATTCAACTTTCAGATGATGTATAAATCTCAATTTCAAAAAATTGACCCTTGTGA